AATGCCTTCCCCCCATTTGTAGATATTATAAAGTAGTATAGCGTCGTATTTGTGTAAAGGATTACTATATTAGTGTACAGATGTATAAATATGATAAAAAGAAGCTGGTAGTATGCCATCCAAATAGACCGAAACGAAATGTGGAAATAAATTTTAAAACATCAAGGATTTAGATCCAAATAAACTATATAATATATTACCAATAGTAAAAGAGTAAAAAGAATTTCGAGTTTAGTACACGGCTATTCGAACGAAGCGGGACGAATCCATAATTAAAATTTCTAAATAGGTTTATGTTTTTACTTTTTCGTTCCCAGAATACATTATACAATGAAAATTGTATTTATAAAAATATTTAAAAATAACGTTTTTGTTATTTTTTGTTATGTAACAAACATGACATTACATAAATAACTAATTTACGTAGTCGTATTACGTATATATAGTTTTTCGTAAATATTGCCATAAAATAGAAACTTTCGGTAAGATTTTTTTATTTATTTGATAAGTAAGCAAGTGATGTATGTATACAATATGATATGTGTATTATCACATTTCATATTATATACTTACATACACACATCACTTATATATACATAATCTTGAAAAATATATTTAAATATTCAATTCAATGATAAACGAGACAATTTATGCATTAACTATTTTAAATGCCAGATATTATTGCTTCCTAATTTTAACAAGTACCAATAACTTATAAAATTTACACATAAGTAAATGTAATATTATAAGTCATAATAATTTTAAATCATCTCGTGGTATAAACGAGCCTAATATCCTGTGCTATTAAGCATTACATCAGGCTCATCAGAAACGAGTTATTCAAAATAAAACAAGAGATTAACAAGAGGTCCATAATGGAGGGAGGGTGATTATCGCCTCCCTCCTCCTTTCAAAGCTGCTTCATTAGGACCGAAGTAGTTTGGAAATTTTAATGACGGTAAAAAATCGCTTCATGCAACCGAGCCTTCAATCTTTAATTATAATGATGTTTCATAAAATGTTAGGCATGTTTTATGAACAATTTTATTAAAAAAAAAAGAGTAAGCTCTAATACGTATTGAATTTATGATTAACTGAGTATTGGGGGTCTTAGATTATTGATTGGTCTCCATTTCAGACTATTAATCTTGGAAGAAGAACTAACATCTTAGTCATGAAGAATGGTAATTCATGAAGGGTAGCAAAAGAATCACATTGTAACCAGTAATATGTCAATTATGGCGAAGGATATTACTTTTCATCAGGTAGACAGGTTCCAAATTGCATAAAAGACTAATATTCTTCAAGCTGTATAGTTAGACTCTGATTATTATCTATCAACCAAAAATACTGTGCGGTCCCGGCATAGAATGAGCCACCCCTTCCTTTTCCGTGGGTGTCGTAAGAGGACAGGACTAAGGGAGAACGAGGAATAGGCAGCAGCATCCCTCTTAAAACATCTCCAAAGCCAAAGGGAGACTTTGTACAAAAATCGTTTGCTTGGGCACCTCTGTTCCATTCTTGTTTCTACTGTGAAGCAGTTGTGTTTGCATGGTTGTGTTTCGGTTTGAAGGGTGGGATATGGCAGGGAATTTACAAGGTACAGAGGAATAACACCTGAGTTCTCAGGAATAGCAACGCATAGGAGGTATCATGTGCGAAACAGTATACTCTGTTGTGTCCATGGTACTGCTCATATCTATAAGCGAAGGTTACCACTTTCCAATTAGGTGGACTGTCAGTTTGTTTGCTATTCTAAGTTGCATATAAAAAATTCAATAGTACTATATAATAGCTTTATTTTATTATAAAATTTGTATGCCCGCTTTCCAGGTTCATAATCAGACCAGCATCTTTGTTGGGGTTGCGCAATATATTTGGTATAACAATATATCTAATAATATGACACAAATCATCCATTATATTTAAATAAATACAAATGAATTATTGATAAGTGATAGACACAATACCGAGGAAATAATAACACATTTTTAATATAATACGTATTCATTTTATTCATTCACATATTGTAAAAAATACATAAATATACAGTCTATATAAAATGCAAAATCACCTGACTTTTTTTTCATTTCAAATTAGTTTACCTGCGACTCAGTTAATTGTGCAACAACCCCTAACTCCCCCACGAATTCTTGACACACTCAATTGTATTAACTGCCGTTGTAAAACTTACAATATGACTTTTATCTCTCTTGTGTCTAAGGCCATAAAGTTGAAAATATTTAAAAATATACATTTTTAAAATGTTGGCATTATTTGAAGCCGTACACTTTGGTGATGCAACAAGTGTACGCCAACAATAGAGGCGATTAGGGGTGATTTATATGTATATGGCCTTTTATTTTCCACCCTCGGTCTTTTAGTTAACTCATCTTCTAACTGAAATTCCCACACTCACATTACAAAGGTTGTTGAGAGTTTATTTAAACTTATGAGTTTATAAAACATAATTTAGAAAAATCACATAATACAGCGCAGAATGAAATTAAATAATATGAAGTGAAAAATATTTATTTAAATTAATAATTACATGTATAGAAGTAAAAATATAATCATACTAAAAAATATAAATTTCTACAAGTAAATAAATTGTATTTGGAGAACGCATTTTTTATTAAATAAATATTTGCTTTAAGTATGTAATAATCAAACAATCAGTCATTAATTACGTGACTAGATATAATATCTATTTTTAACATTTACCTACTATCATGTTTCTGATGTAAATATAGAAAATTTTATATTTACTGTAATTTGGGTTTTAACACTTACAGACATAATATTTAAACATATTTAGTGCGTAGTATTGACTACCTTTCTATCTAATTTGGTGAAATCCAAAAAATGGCTTTTTTATTTGTTTCCTTATACATATTTGCCACATCATTTTAGCAAATTCTAAGATTTCCTAGTTAAACTTAAATTTGCCAATGTTCGGGTTTTTACAGTAACATATATACCCTACTAGATATGTCACAAAAACAATCATGAATAAAAAAATATTGTATTGCATATTTCACATATCTATCAAACACAAACAGCCCATAATAGCTAAGATAATTAAATCTTCTTATAGGTTAGTATTATTATAAGTCATTTAAATACTTGTTCTGTCATTAGTAGTTACTACTAGTTCATGTATAATACTGCTATTAGCTTTAAATTTATAAAACGCTATTAAAATATCGAGATTCAATAAAAACTAAATCTTTCTATAATGTAATAAATAACCGTGACATTTACAAAAAAAAAATAAACAATTTGACCCAGGCTCCCCTCGGAAGGTAAACGCGACAAGTGCAGTCACAGACAAAACACAATGGTGGGGTTCGATTGTACCCCACAAACTTCGGCAATCCCACACTTGTCACGCCATGGGGCCAAATAATACTTCACTTTTTCGCTTTTTAAATATGACGCAAAATGTAGCATCTCATTCTTTTGACTGTCCATTGTCATAGATGGTTTTTGCATCTTCAAACCGTGGGAAGACTTTATGGTAGGCGAGGCTGAAAAGAAAAAACATTTTATGGTCAAGGTTCGCTAAAATAATTTTTGATATGGGTCTACAACTAATAAATGGGATATATATTAGAGACACAATAATATCATTGATATTTTATATTGCATGTAGTTTAGATTGCTAATAAAAAAATTAAACATTGTTATGCACAGTTATCTTTATGTAAGCACAGTTTGTATCAAGATCTACATAATTCATTCCTATGAACATAAAATTATAATAGTTAATTCTGGAAGTCATTTATACAAACCACCCTTCATCTTGATTTACGATTTGGGGCTACTTTCTAAAAATCATCCCACGCAATACTCTGATTGCTGTAATTACAAAAAAAGCCCAATTCAACCCCTAACAATCTCTTCTAATAATCTTAAAACGACTCTAATAGACATTTAATTATATAGTCGGCCGAGTTCCACTGACCCCTTTTACACTTGTTTACATCTTCATCCCCTCGCCACCCTCAAATGCGTTGAGCCATCAAAATGGAATGTTTAATTCCAAAACCTCATACGATTTATTATAACAAAGCAAAACGGGAACGATCGACCGCTTGCCATCTGTCGCTGTTCCGAATCTCGCGTCACCTAAAAAAACTCAATGTGCGAGCAACCCTGGGAACCTAGCAGCGAAGAGCATTCCCACGAACAACCCCTCAATTTTCAATAACCAAATTAGCCTTTGCGTTACCCTATTTCGGATATGAGGGAGTCGTGAATCTATTCATATCAATAAAAAATATCCGCCGTCTCGCTCCTTGAACTGTACTGTATCTATATTCATCCCCTTCGAATGCACGTGTTCAGCGGTCGTATATTTATACTGGCATGTTATGTGTGCGAGAGCCTTCGGATCGCGACACCTGCCGGCGCGCGCGCACCCCATTGGCTGAGCAACCACTATCACCGCTACACTGATTTCTTTTTAAACTTTATTTTTTGTAATACTCTCTTTGGACACATGAAGAAAAAATCTAACATGTTTGGACCGGTATGACTCGAATATTTTGTGTGTAGGTGGCATTTTATATTTGATAGTACTTTTTGTAAACAAAATGCTAATAAACACCCACTTGAATAATTTAAATACCGCTAGATATGTAGATAAAGCTGTCACATTATCTAGACACAGAACAATAATATGATATCTTAATGATGGATAAAAATTTCCAAGTTATTAAAAACTACATATTTTCCATGTAGGAAAAATACTTATAAAATACTAATTAGTATACTATTATAAACAAGATTGTACACTAAATTACCTTATCTATTAAGGGTACTCCACACTTAATTTAGTGCAGCAGTCACACGTCTCACGCGTGGCTGGCCCCGGGTCATGGCACGGGAAGGGTCGAAGTCACCCCATGACTTAGTGACCCCGACGGGGCGATAACAATCGCATTGTTCGAGTACGACGAAGGGCTAATGATACAACATGTGTTGTTTGCCCACAGATGGGCGTGTGGATGGCACGTGGACCATTTTCTCATGGAAATATGGAGTTTATCTATAGTTAAGATAGAAACAAAATATTAAGAAAATAACACTTGATTAAAAATAATGTTCCGACTAGATCAGTAAGTAGTTTTACCTAAGGAAATACAAATGTGATAAAATAATAAAAATCATTTATGTAAATGATAATATTAAAACAATAGTATAAACCATACATAATAATCCAAACACACAATAAATACAACAAAATTGTTTTATAATTACTTATCAAGTTATATAATATTAATTTAGTGCAATCTTACAATACCAAAACTTATTTCGTACAATAGTTTTAAATTCCCGTACAGCCCAATTTTTTCCATTGCAAATTGACCTTTTACTGAAACAAAATTTCGTAACAACATAAAAACAAAACCATAGGTACCATAAACTTTGAAAGTCTTGTTATAAAAACCATAACGTGAATTTCGAATAAACCACTTGATACACCCACACAAACGAAGGGAGCTTTTCATGTACAAGGTGCTTTTGTGTCGGGGGCGGCGCGCCGGGTATAAATAACCCGGCCGGTTATGGCAGCCCCACATACCCGCCTGTGATCTCACTAGCGACACACGCTCTCTCCAAATATACTTTATTTCCAAAATGTCTTACTACGCTAATAACGAATACATCATCGCCACAAACAATTCGATGAACGAGAACAAATACAATAGTGACAAGATGAAGAACAGTGGCTTCAAAGCACTCTTGAAGCCTTTGATGAAAATTATTAAGAAGACAACAAAACGAGTTCCCGCCAAAGCGTGCGACACGTGCTACGAAGATGAGCAGAACTTGAGCAACGAGAGGCTCGAGCGCAAAATCTATGCTGAAGTTGAAGCGTGCCAATCTGGTGCCGCTTTTCTCGTATACAATGAAGATTCTACATGCGACATTATGCCAGTGACCCCTGAAAACTTCTACGTGCCAGTTCATTTCGTAAGGACCGAAGCCGGTACTTTCTTCTGGACGACAGTCTCAAAACCCGAAGCTGACTTTGCCGAAGCTCACTGTTATACCGAGTGCCAGACGCCGGAGCAGCAATATCCGATAATGCAAGATCGCTGGGTTCAAGCCTAAATCAAAACAAGACAACGAAAATCAGTGTCTTCCTTTGAAAGAAACCAGTGCTCGCTCCGTTGGTTTCTGCAACCGTCTGTGATCTTAGCTTTAATTTAAATAGTTCAAGGTGCCATATAGGGTTAAGTTAGAGTTAGCTTCGCTCAATACTCGTGATAATTCCTCGAAAGCTTTAACTGTATTTCGAAAGCGTTGTGATATTTTTAAACATTTTTGTATTGTATAAATTAATAACGTTAGGTATGTCGAGCTTATTGTGATCTTCCTTATCTGAGCTTTAATTGTTTAGGGTTAATAATTTATTTATATTGTAAGTTGACTGCTTTTGGTCATTTAAATGAGATGAAATAAAAATAAAATGATGATTAATTGTATTACTTTCTTTCACTTAATGATCTCAAACACAATTAATTCCCTCATACAGAATAATACCATCCAGTTTAAGTGAACTGGACAGGGAGTGATAATAGAATAATCATTGGCATACAATGTCAATTTGATGAGGTTGTTACTGAGGCTATAGTGGTATCAGAGACTTATTCTGATATTCAAAAAGTGGTCAAACAAGATGTCAAGTCAACGACGTGCCCGGCGCGAGCCACTATACTTATAAGAAAAGTGGTTATAGGCGCCGAGTCCGGTCGGTCTTGCTTTGCTGGCTTCTATACTGGGCGAGCAACATTTTGTGCGAGTGCGCACGTGCAGACCCCGAGGCGGACCTCGCTACTGGGTTTTTAATGGATGCGTTTTTTAAATTGCCGCGCTTTTTGGTGCCTCTTGTTTTTATTTATAAATTCAAATTGATTTTATGTTAGTTGATAGCTAAATATTTAATAGATAATTGTATTTTCTTTAATCACAGCGTGATTTACCACCATGACGGTAACAATTTACCCGTACTCATACCAATTAATCAATTGTACAGTTACTTTTATAATAATATGAATCATCAGTCAAGGTTGCATATCATAAAATACATATATGCCTTCATATACAATACAGATATAAAACAAAATGTTAGACTTTAATTTCTTTACAGCACCGGTCCATGAACATCACCTAAATAAGTCTTCAGCAATCCAGAATTCCTGAAAAAAAACTCATCTTTTTATCAAACAGAAAACTGTAAAACAACGAATGTAGAATTAGTTGACATTGCAAATTTGCCTCTTGCAGCGTATGTGAGAACTTCAATATATCAATACATAATTTTATAAGATTATAAATTAAAATAAATATAAAATTATATAATTATGATTATATGTATTTCTATGTAACATACTTAATTATATCACAATTAAATTAAATGGAAAATCAATTCAATGTTAAACTTAAAAAAGGTTAAAATTATCTAATCTACGAGTAGTTTAGCAAATAATACATTTAAATTTTTATATCTATTAATTAATTAAATTCAATTGTGTCGTATAAATTAAGAATAATATAATAAACTATTAATGCTAATTATTAAACTTTAATGAAAGTAATACAATACATATATTTTTATACTTATATTAATACTTTACGTATTATTATAGTTATAGTAATAATCTATTTATTGATATGTAAATGTTAATATTTTATCTAATGTTATCTACAATCAATTGTTTACTAACGTACTTATATTACATATATAAAATTTATTTGTAGCAGTTTACGTTTACAGTCTTATTATTGCATTAGTATTATTAATAATTCGGTTTCAGTTTAGATAGCGTTCCAAATTGAAGATTCATCACTTTTTAAATAAATTACACAAAATTATACCACTTCTTAAATCACTTATATATGTACATAGATATTTGATAAAAATCGTCTAAAATTGAGAAAATGATTATTATATTTATTAATAAATATAATAAGCATTTTCTTTAATATTAATACCTATCATTATGAATTCCCATCTGTTTATGAAACTATAATATTTAACTACAGATATTTTAAGAATACCTATAACTCAAATAAAAAAAATACTTTAACATTAAATAAAGGAGTAAGTTTAAAATACGAAAATGAATTCTCTAGTTTTATGAAGTAGATGCCTAATGAGAGATCTCTACAAAAACCTTGTAAGAAGACTCAAAAGGAACATAAATACTTCTTAAGTAAACTAAAATATTCATTCTATGTAGCATAATATAGAATTGTAGACTAGTAAATTAAAATATAGAAGACTTCACACGAAATCCTATAGGAAATTACGCAATTTCATATTTTACCGAAATTATCATAATTAAAAAATTCATTTAACTACTGGTAGCATATCCTATTCTGTTTGTATAAGCTAGCTCATTAATTATAGGTACCTAACCTAACAAGGAGCCTCTATGAAAACATAATAAACCCGGTACCGAATCGAACTCATGAAAATTGATTATAAGAGTTTTCTAAACTAGTCCATCAAATTAGAAAAGCTTCTTGAATATAAACTTACTCATAGAGCACAAGGATACAAGGTATCTCATAAGGTTCATCAAATTGTAGTTTTGAATAATCTCATGCATAACTATTATCATGCACAATTCAAGAAATAGCCATAACAAGTCATAAAATTAAATCTATATTTTCTTATTATACCTAGTCTTTCAATTACACATGCAACATAGGTATGCAACTTTGCACTTATCTATGCAATTACAGAAGTCTGCATTAAAGCCTTCGAGAACAAGTTACAACCTGTCACTGAAAATAATATTTCGAACAAGTTGAGACATGTCTTCACCACACTTGTGCAAAAAACCTGTTTCTGTTGCATAACAATCAGTACAATAAATGCATTATGGCAAAAGAATCAGCACAAAAGCATTCAAACAAACACACGTGCAAACTTTCTCTACATACACAAAAGTGTAAACGATATTAGATATTTAGAATTAATATAATTGTCCAATAAATAACAATCTAAATATTGCTAATAAGAAATGCAAATATAGTTAATAGTTAATTGCATAAAAAATCGTTCAACTTTATATTCACAATACAAAATATTTAAATTTATAAATAATGACATTAATTACTAACCATATATATTTGATATTTAATAATGCATAATACATGCAATAAGAATTCTGTAAAATTAGTTAAACATAACAAATATTTCATAATCTATTTGCATTCATAAAACTTTATAGTAAAATCCTCTTATTCATAAAAATTAAAATCTACAAACCCATTTTAACTATTACACTACTATGTCACTTGTTTCAAATTAGGAACTAAGCATTAAATAAAGTAACAAAACAGCTCAATAGCTAAAATAAGTTTATTAGAAATTTGGTGTTTGAATAAGAGAATATGCACTAATTTACACAAAATACTTAGATAACATATTAGATTTAACAAGCATATAATTTACTATTTACAAACTTCATAATTCTCAGCTTAATATTAATTAACGTCTTAATTATTTAATTAACCAAAATCTACATTTTATTAGTACCAAATATTAAGCAATTAATATTATTAGTCAGTTGATTAGAATAATTAACTAATGATATGAACTTCCGCAAAATAACACCTTATTCAGTAAAATACAACCCGCATTAGTTAGCATTTGTTTAGTTAGTACTGTTAGTAGAATACATTTGCACATTAAACATACTTTTGCTCCCACCAGTTCTTCAGGATTACTTATACAATATACAGTTAGTCTTGCATCACGAATCATGCCAATATCTCTTTCAATATAATCTGCATTCCAATTAAGCACACGTATTGAGCCGCATTGACACTTACGGGCTCACGTCGCGCCAAGCGCCGCTAACCTGATATGCAAATTACCAAGCTATTCATTAAAAAGCACCCGATACCGCTAGCCGCCTCGTAATAATTACCAGAACATACGATTCCAACATCTATAATGCGTGGGTACTGTGTAGAGATAGCGAAGTGGTCCGGCATAATAATACCATACGCGGCACTGCGACCGAGCCGTGAGAAATTTTGGCAGATGTTCAATTCCTTGACGTTGTACGACGAGTGAACGCTTATCTTTTTTTTTTCTTTCTTGAATTTAATAATACTCAGTTCGCTCCGGTATCGCGACGGCTCGTTCGTGACTCATCGACGCATTGTTATGCACGTGTTCAATGCAACTCGGACGTTTGGGTTAGAAAGGATTTTTTGTAACCCTTATTACAAATTCCGCAACTCTTGCAAAATTTGGGTTAATTTTTTTTTCAACATCGGATTCTAATTTCTTGGACACGTGCATTTACAATAGTTGCAATGAAATAATTTATTTTAAAGCTCAGTATGTGCCATGTGCAAAGGTTTTATAGACTTCGATAGAAGGGTCATTGAAACTGGTTATGGAGTATATTATTAAACCTATAATAATTATGATCTATGGCTAATTGAAGATTACGCCGGACCGCCGAGTTAATTAGTTTTCGATTACGATTAAATTACTGATGGGGTGTCGGTGATATAAACGCGATAAAAGCAATTAGAGCAACATTTAAAAGCATTTCACGCAAGTTATCATTTATAGTCCGGGAGCAATTACCTAACTAATTTCATTAAATTTAATCACTTACTAAAAAAAACTAAAGGCGAGAACTACTAAATTACAGTTTATGTTATGGTTACAACTAGGACGTAACTAGTCAAACTGAGTATTAGCAATTTACAATTTTGTATGAATATTGTACGTTTTTTAATCATTACTATTACTCGTTAGATTACTAATGATACCTACAAATGTAGTTAGTGATCTTATCAGTTCATAATAATTTATTTGAAGTTTATCATACAAATTTAATGTAGTACTTTTAATGTAAGGCTCTTTATTAGTTAATAATGATGATTTATTATTATTTTTATTGCACTGATATAATTTTGTTTCTCTTGAAGTAAAATTTCATATTTCTCTTACAATTACATTTATAGTAATGAAATGAAATCTACACTTTCCGAAGCTCTTCATAATCCAACTTCATAATCTGTATTATCTTTATTCTATTCTGAATAGTATAACTCTTAAATTTTAATATACTTCGTTTTGACGTCATATTTTTTAAATTTACACAAAATGCTATAATTATTTATTTTCAGAAAGAAAAAGAAATATTAAGTATAATGTATTCTCGTGGTTGTACTTGCGTAAATCTCTCGTTATTATCAGAATCTATCCTATAGTTTTCTTTTTCAGATTTTTATCACTTGCGGTTTATACTGTACGTTGATAGTTCAGTCAGTCAGGCCAAGTTTTTTTTTTATGAACAAGTAAAAATGTATGCAATAATGTAAAGGTCTATTATACTATAAAATGTAGAGTTATTAATGCAATTACAATATCTATGAAATGATTTGCAATATATTTTACTAGTATTTCTTTTATTACTTAAAAATTAAATTAAAATGTATTTATTTT